TTCAAATCGAAAGCATGGGTGAACAGGCTCCTCAACCGTGTAGATCTTTCTGTCCTCAACAACCTTTGGGACCTTCACAACCTGGGGCATTTCCACAGGCTGATCATAGGTGACCTTCTCCAACCGTTCCCTTACTCGAGGCCGCTCGTAGGTGATGTCTTTGTAGTGCAGTTCGGGCTTCTCCACCAGCTGCTGAGTTGGGACTTCAACCTGGGATGCTTGACACATTTGAGTCAACCATTGCAGCTATTGCTAAGTCACACGTCATCATGCCAGGTAAAGGATGATTGCCTGGGAACCCTGTGTAAAAAATTGTTAATGCACGGTCTTGGTGTTTTGAAGCCTGTCCAAGGAGCTGCATAGTCTGAGTGAACAACCGCACCCGGCACCAGCTTGGGCCTTTGCACCTCAACGCTGTGGCGCCTCTCCCGAGGAACGAGCTTCTCATGGACCTCCTCTTTGTGAATGTACCGGATGTCGTGTTTGCAATCTTGGATGTTCGGAGAGCCTGGAGACGGCAAACATACGGGCGCATAATGCGGCGAGTAACCTCCGGAGGATGGAGAGCCAAAGATAGAAAGGCCGTGACCATGAGGGCTGCACTCGGGAGGAATGAATGCTCCACGCGGCAACCGCGTCATCACCGATACGAGGCTTTAGAAGCTGATCCTTTCCTTTGCGCTGCAAAAGCTGCAAACACTTTGGATCCGCATGGAAGCTGGACAGGCAACGATTCCGAGCTACTTGGACTCCACGCATCAAATACATAACCCTGGCAGTTGTAACAGCACTCTCCGAAACATCTTATCGCATCCAGCCACTGGCTACCAACCCCACCACAAGTCTACATCATAGGGCAATTGAGATAGCTCACAATTCCGAACCAGATCCCCTTGCCTCGACCCTGGCTATTGGAGGGGCTTGATGTCCGAGGACTCAAGCGGTGCGAGTGACCTCGCTTCACGCGTCTCGGCCACTACCCGGAGACGTCAGACACTGGCCGAACTTCGGAACTGTACAGTGATGTTTCGTTTGCTCAGGATGCAGCTCAGGTCCTCAACACATGGGTGCTGTCCAATGTCCCTCTTGTCCTAGTTTTAGCCCTTGGTCCGCGCTTGCGCGCACCTTGCGCGCGGGGCCTTTTCGCCTCCTCTATCATGTAAAGATTCAGTGCTTAATAAAAACAGAGCAAGGATTTTCGGACGCAGCCCACATGAATCTTCAATCATTTGCGACGCCTGGGAAGCCTGGACCTTACAGCATGCAGGCAACCTGTCACAGCTTCTGCAATATGTCTGCATGTCTTGGGACCCGCACTACCTTCAAATCAGTGGACGCAGCGAGATATACACAGCCTCGAGTTCACATGATTCACATCTTCAGGGAGGCACATGCAAAAAAGAATCAAGCACTGCAACATGCGAAAGCATTGGCTGGGCAACACGGCAGTCGTTCATCTTGCAGCTTGCTTAGGCCACGGCCGTGCAATGCGCAAAGCATGCCAGACCTGACAGAAAAAGCGACTTCTGCAAAATGGTATGCTGGGGATTTCCTGTGCCATCATGTTGGCTTTGCTATAAACTAAATGACAGGGGCACCCGCCATTTGAACCAGCATGCATGCGGACTACGAAATGCCATGTTCACCTCTTGTTCTTCGAGGATGCTCTATAACATGACAAAGGACCATTTTGCCACACCCTGCACCCACTTCGGTCCCATTCGCACGCTGCAGTTTCGTCAAATCTCCGAACGCGAGGACACCCAGGCCCCGCAGGCAAATTCGAGCCAAGGTTCCCCCGTTTAGGGTTTAGACGACGCCGGACACGAGATTGCAAAGGCCTCGTCCAGAGGCTCGTCTGAAAGGTGAGCAACCAGCAAAGCCTGCTCACTCCCGTCAAAACGGGCAGTCGTGGCATATCAGACGTTGTGATGCCGGGTCATGCCATGCCTCGTGGCACTGTCTTCCCTGGCCAATCTTCATCTTTGGTGAGCTCCTGAAAGTTGTCGTATTTAGACTTTCGGGTCTAAGTGCTCTTCCGAAAAGTGGCACATGAAATGTGCCTGTGCAAGTGTATGAGCATACTTGACCCGGAAACGGGTGCCTGACCTCGTCGGCGTTGCGCACAGGTTCGAGGGCAATGTCAAGCTGGTTGTTCCTTGCACTCTTGCTGGCATGACCTGGCGCTGAAATTACAAACGCTCGGGCAAGAAATGCACAAAATAGCTGCCCAGTCTCTCGAGCGATGTGAGGCCGTTGAGCAAGCTCATCAGAGCACTTACAGAAGTGAAGCAGCCTGTGCGACGGGCGAACGAACAGGTAACAGCAGCCTGAAGTGCTTCACACCCACTCGAGGGTCTCAGGTATGCACGCAGGCCACCTATGGCTCCTGTTGCAAAAACCTTGACAAGGAACCTCGCATGTCATGATCTCCCGCGTCGAAAAGACAATCACGCTGTGATACGTCTGCAGAACCCTGGAACCATGCTTGCTAACGGCCTGAAACCCACGTGTTCTCGGCGTCTTGCAACCTGTTGGACAACCTGAGATGACATTCAGCATGAACCACGGCGGCTGGCAGAGCTCATGCGGAGTTGTGGGATGGCGACCGGCATGATCGTAACAAGGAAGTCGGCGCAATGGCTCTCAGGGCACACTACACTGAAGAACAAGCAAACACTAGGCTGCGTAGGTCTGGGAAGGATTGGGGAGGCCGAGTGCCCGAGCTGTGCCACAGCTTGGACCACTGCTGCAGCCTTAGCAACATCCTGCTGGCGGCTGTGAAGGACGGGAAAGGTCTCTCGACCGAAGTCTCGTGCTTGCGAATGCACTTGAAGAGCGGTTTGAGACTGCCGACACTACTCTGGCCGAGCCAAGCAGCGTAGTCTTCCCGGTTTCTCTTGCTAACTTGGAGGCGCTCGTTGGCCTCCGCGTTGACCAGCGAGGTCTTGACTGCATCCAGTTGGTCTTGAGTAAGGTCAGCTGGGCGGCGAGGTTTCTCCTGCGGTCACACCCAGCGCGACTGTCCACTCTGGTGGTTCTTGGTCCGGGCCAAGCTCTTCCAGGTAACTGAGCACGAGCTTATGGAATTTTTGGGGAAGTGGCCTTTGGGCGTAGCAGTCCTTGAGGGCCTGCAGGGCCTGCGTGAGGAGTGCCTGTTGTTTGCCATGCCATCTGCGGGGGGCGCTGTCGTCTCTGAGCAAGGGCTGGAAGGTAACAGGCCTAGTGGCCCCGCGGCCTTGCACGGACTTGAACAAACTGCGTTCAACTCAGTTAAACAGTGAGACTCTAAGCGGTCACGCTTTTTCTCTCTTGAGCAACAAAAGGCGCTGCGTAGCCATGCGTATT